GTGTAGTCTGGAGATCTATAGTGTAGTTTAGCATCCCTCCCCATAACTAGGAAACAAAACACCCTTCCTCCATCTTTCTCCTGAGATCATGCCATTATAACTAAAGCTTTCCAGAAAGTGAAAGGTGTCTTTAAAAACAGTTAGTCTTCATCAATAGTGTGCAAAATAATTCTCTGGACACAGCTGTCCTTCCTCTTGTTAGCCTTTGCTGAAGCATATTTTCTTGATCACATCTTCAAAGGGGCCTATGTAAGAGATGGGGATTCCTGACACAAGTAATGGGGATTCCTAAGTGGAAGTAAACTCAGAGGGGACCTGGAAGTACCCTTCTGGGGCTAGGGCTCATACTATGCAGAGATGCAAGGGAAAGTTTCAAAGGTCCAGATCTGAAATGAAGTGACTTGAAAGAACAGATGGACCTGTTAGTAATGAATCATACTCAATTGTTCCCAGTAGCAGGGCGTGCCCTTAAAATAGTCACCTGGTGGCCCATGCACGCGTGCCCCAGGACCCTGCCTACCTCTAGGTCACCCATGACCTTCTTAGGCCCTAACTCTCCATCAAGGAATTGAGCTAGATGGTCTCTAAGACTTGCTACTGTGGAGCGTCATCCCTTAGTGGCTCCAGAGACCAGACTTGTTCATATTCTTATCACTTTCTAAGTCCTCCCTGGAGACCTTGTACAAGAGCTCCCAAGAAGAGTGCTGGGGCGAGGGCTGAGTTCCACTCATTTGTGGTGTGATTTTTCTGTACCTCAGTTTTCTTATTTGCAAAATGTCTCTCAGACACGTCTCAAGGGTATGATGAGGAAAAATAACAAGAGAGAAAGAGCTTTGGGGAAAAAAGAGAAAACCCTTATTCGGATATGAAGTAAAAATGACGTTTTCATTTAGGCCATTTGTATAATTTAGACTGTTCCCTTTCTAGGCTGCAGCCTGAGAATATTTCCTCCGTGGTGCATGGAGGGGAGCTGTCACAGATTTGGTGCAGTCCGTAGTCATCTCCAATGACACGGAGCAGAGGGGAGAGTGCGGCGAACAGGTCATTTGAAATTCCCTTTGAAAGCATCATTAGCCAGCAGACCTCCTACTCTGCAGATGGGAAAGAGGGGCAGACCTTGAGTGAGGAGAGTGGGTGGACAGAGGTTAGCCATTACGTGTCACCAGAGACCCTGCACGTATTTTAGTTCCTGCCTAAAAGTGTTGTTCAGCTTCTATAATTATTTATCCTATTCAGGGACACAGAGAAGAACATTTCATCTAATATTTTTCTCTATAGGAGAAAGCTAAGCTGTTAACAAAAGGTTTCTGACCCCCCTTATATTACAGCATTCTTATGAAATAAATGTTTTCATGTCTCATCATGTTACTTTGTTTGAAAATCCTTTAGTACTTTTACAAAGTAATAATTTTGTTCTGTTAGCTCTGTGCCACCACAAAACATCTTTCTCAACTTCCCTCCTTCAAAAACTTCTACAAATGTGCTGGACAATATCTCCGAGCCATTCATTTCTCTTCCCCTCGTGGCAGAAGAATCCGCTTACATCATTTGGCAAGACCTAATTAAAGTCTACTGGAATTTTTCTAGTTATTGGGAACTCAGCACCTCATAAGAAAACCTATTTTATTTCCGCACTTCTCTTCTGACAGCAAAGCTCTTCATTATATCCTACCAGTATTTATTTACTTTTTTTTCCTCTTGTCTTTATCTTATGATTCTACATTTTTTTTAAAAGCCATTGTCATCCACACGTAGCAGTCCCTTCGGATAATGAAGATGGCCCACCCTCATCTCTTTCAGGCCTAATACATTCTCAGATGTTTCTCTGTTCTTTCCATTACAGCTTGCAGATTTTTACTAAGCTACTATTTCACATTTCAGATAATCTTTTAGAGAATCAGAGAATCTTTTTACTTCCCTTGCAAACCTTTCCCAGTTTCCTGTGAAATCTTTTAGCCAGCATGCTGTGTACACGTTTTGCCTCATTTATCATAAACATGTCTGTACAGAGAAAAGATAAATCCTTTACTTACATAAAATTGCTTCTCAGCCTAAATCTCTTAAGTAACAATAAAATATTCCTTCTCTGTCCTCACTTTGTCTCAGCTCCCACTGTTCCCCCCGAATTGCCTTCTGACATCTTATCCCTAGAACTAAATTTTAGAAAACATTTAATAGGCAAGTGAGCGATCTTCATTGCATATTCAAAAGCTGAGGACGTGGATTGTGAGAACTGAGAGTGCAGGCCCGGCCTGGAGAGGGCGAGACGGCCACTGTGGGCTCCGCCATTCCCCTAGTGGCTCTGTGTGTGGTGATCCCTTTCTTCATAAGCACAAAAAACTACTTAGAACACTTACTAGTTTTTTGAGTAAAAAACGAATCTGCAAGCGAGATCCAGTTGAAATTAGATTCATGAGACTAGAATAAAAACAAATCTGTTTCATCTGGGCAGCACTGAGGAAAATAATTTCAAAGAGAAGGTGCAGACCCCCCTGACGGTCAGTCTGCGAGATAGGAGAGAGGATTTCTTGAGAGTTTGCAAGCAGGGAATGTGGCCTGCTATTCAGAAACCAGTTTTACCTGCCTAATTGTATAAAGGCAAACCGGGAGCAGGAGAGGAAACGGGAGTACAATTTGGTATAAAAATATGTGCAGTTTTCCAGAATTACTTGGGGGTAGGGGTATTCCTAAAAAAAAAACAAACCCAGATGATTCTAGACTTTAGAGTGCTAGAAATATGCAGATTGTGAGATTTCCTTATAATGGAATTTTATTGTTAGAAACACATACTCCATTTCCTCTAGTATCTAAAAAGGTAATTAGAACCTGGAACCACAGAGTATACACAGTCTATTTTAAGATTACAGCTCAGTTTGTATTATAAATATCATATGTTATATGCTATATCAGATTACATAAAAATACATGGTATTTTGAAAAATATCTTCAACTCACCCCAAGTATGGCTAAGAAGGAACCAGTGATTTTTTTCCTCTTTTTTTTTTTTTTTTTTTTTGAGACAAATCTCACTATGTCACTCTGGGTAGAGAGTGCTGTGGCGTAATCATAGCTCATATCAAACAACTCTTGGGCTTGAGTAATCCTCCTGCCTCAGCCTCCAGAGCAGCTAGGACTACAGGTACCCATCAGAATGCCCTGGTAGTTTTTCTATTTTTGGTAGAGAGAGATCTCACTTTTGCTCAGGCTGTTCTCCAACTCCTGAGTTCAAGCAATCCACCCACCTTAGCCTCCCAGAGGGCTGGGATTACAGGTGTGGGCCACCACACCCTGCTGACGTTTTCTCTTCTGAAGCCAGTGCCTCTAACCTGGCTGACAGCATGACGACACCCCTCCCTGTCCATCTGTACCTCTGTGGACCCACCTGCACCCCAACTCTGTCTCCCCAGTTGATGTATAAGAGTTTTGAATTCATGGGGATTTCTTCAGTCATTGCAGTATTTTTGGTGCAGTTTTTCAATGTATACTTTTAATGCTATGCCCCATTCAAATGACCTGTACAAACTATAGTTTTTACATGTTTTTCTAACAAAGTAGATGGTGATTATGAAACATTGATGATATGGGGGAAAAGAACCACAAAATTTACTTTTGGCTATTTGAAACTGTATCTGACAGTCACGTTTATCCTCTCTAACCTCTGCTGAGGCACCCTGACCAAAGAATAAAGCTTTGTTTTGATCCCGCTTATAAGAAGATATAAATAAAAATTCAATTTTCCTTATACCAAATACATTTTGACCTAGGGCATGGCATGCCCCTGTGATTTCATAAATTATTTATTAAAAGTTTTCAGATGAAAAACACAGGCTTTGGGACCCCATAGAACATTTGAATTCTGGATTCTCCATTTACTTCTCTTATTAGTCCTGTACAAAAGGCAACTGATGGTTGTGTTCTGAAGTATATACCATGGATGCTGAGAATTACACGAGAAACTTGTACCTGGTTTAGAAAAGAGCATAAAGTTGATAAATACTATCCATCTTTCTACTATTATATTTATAACCTCGCAGAGAATATTTAACTGTAGGTCCTTCATTTTTCTAGGGAAAATATAACTGAAAAAATGTTAACCTCAGAAACAAAGGAGCAAAAGCCCCCGGTGTGGAGGCCCCAGGAAACGGCTGAATCGCGGCCGTCTGTACTATAGATGGGTACATTGTTTCATTGGAATTAAGGATCAGCTTATTCCTTTGTATAACGAAAAGGAGATTTTTTCAATGTTTATTTCCCCAAATAGCCACCCCAAACAAAGAGATTAATGAAGTCACAATCCCTTCACATTTCATTAAATTACATAAATGCCTAACAAACACTAATGTGGATTATTGCAAGCTGTGTTTCTGATTTGGCTTCCCTCCTACTCCCACCCTCCTACTCCTAACTACAGTGTATTATGTCTGATGTATGCCGGGTGTTTCCGGGCTTGCAGACAGCGAGGTTTGAGTGCATGCTGCATGAGTCATGAACGTGGATGTCCATTTCTGCTGGTTCTGGGAGGCCCGCAGCCCGAGCTCTCGCAACGGCGGTTCCCAGCCCCCTCAGCGCCATCTAGTGTCCGATTGAGGTGTGGCCGCCGAGCACCTGCACGCTGCGGGAAATAAGGACCAGGCAGCATAGCAACAGGGCCAAGCTCTTCTCTCTCCTCACATGCCGCTGGACTTGTGAAAACTTTAGGTCCTACCCAAATCCACTATTTTGCAAATGAGCTACACCCAAGTAAATGCCAGAATACCTTTTGCATTCTAAGGGCTCAATCAAATGCTGTTTGCTTTTACTGCAAAGATTTGCGTTGCTGCGTTTTTACGGCTCACAGCTGCCGTTGTGCAGATAGGCTTTCTGGAAATGAGGGTTTTCTGACGATCCGCGTGGAACCACAGCATGCTGCTCACTGTACACATGTCCTGTGTTGCTGTCAGGACTGTCGTCATCCCTCCCTCCGTATATTTTATTCTTCTCTCTCTCTCTCTTCTTTTCAGATTGTCTACAAAGCCTGGCTCTGTTCCCAGTATTTTGAAGTCACACAGTTTAACTGCAGAAAGACAGTTCCTTGCAAGCAATACTGTTTGGAGGTTCAGACGAGGTGTCCCTTTATATTGCCCGACAACGATGAAGTCATCTATGGAGGCCTCTCCAGTTTCATCTGCACAGGTACAGTGCGGGCAGCACGCGTGGGATTTTGTCCCAGTCTCTTGTGGTTTTGCCTTTTTATGTGGTGTTTGCTTTGCTGTTTCCTGCCACTGACATAACCTTGAAGATGCAGCTGGTAGTTTTCCGTGCTTTCATTAATAGAAGCACTGGAGATAACCCTGCCAGGGCTTAGAAACGGTTCAGCCTTGACGCCACATTGTCTGAGCTATAACCAAGATGACCATGATTAACTTTGCAAAAGGATAATTGTGAGGACAGAACATTAGCACTCCTCAGAGATCCATGCATGTGACTGAGAGTAGGTTGGATTCTGCCTGCATTATCTTTCCATTGCGTAAGAACCGAGGGTGTGATCAGGAGAGTAAAATTATGTTTCTTCAAATTGGTAACAAGTTTATGTACCCATGTCTATTTTCTGAGAATTTTTTCTGCCTTTTTATCTTCGAAACTTATTAAAAGCACACAGAAATAGCAGCCAAAGTTATTGTGAGTGTGTGTGTCTGTATTAGAACCATACAGTAAGGACAAAGTACAATTCTATCTTATGTTTTCCATTAACTTTCCAGTAAACTTTCCATGTTTACTTCTTTGAGAAAATGACTCAGATTAGGCAAAACACCAATATCAACACTCATTTTTGAATATTTATAAGCATTATATAATATAGATTCAAAATAAGATGTAAAGGATAAAAGTAGTCTGTCTTTTAAAATAAATAATAAGTAGACAGTGAGAACAAGATGCTTTGCCGTGTTGGCGTGATAATCAGAGTTGTTGGTCTATATTTTCTTTTAGTAAAAATAAAATCACACAATATCCTCGTAACTATGTAGTTTAGTAATAATATATTTAGTTTCCCAGTTTTCAGGATAAAGCATTATTGTTAAGTCGGGACACAAATGTCCTCTTCTGATGTTAGACTTCGTGAGAATCCTCGGAAACAGAGTGACATATCAAGATCTCAACACGAGCATTTATCACAGTATTTCTGGACCACTTATTTGAACACGTAGCCATTATTTGTACTGTTCTAAGTCTAAATTATTAAGCTAGCCAAAGGGAGTCCTAAGAACCCATCCAGAGAACCAGAGGGCCATTTCTTACTCTGTCCAGACTTGGGGAAGGACACCTGACTAAGGTGAGGGAACGTGGGGTTCCGTTCACTTTGCCCTGTGTGGTCTCTCCTAGGACTATCTCATCACGAGTAAACTAGTAATAGCAGCAACCTCCACACCACGTCAACTTGCTATGAGGATTAAACATGCCATACATCACTAATAGACCACAGTCCTAGTACACAGAATGTTAATCTGTAAAATGATTTCATGATCATTTTTGTTATCCTACTAGTTTATGCTTAGAGCATTTTTTCATGTAGCTTCTGTCTGCTGTGAGGAAGAGGAGAGAGAAAGAGACAGAGAGAGAGAAAATGGATAGAGGGAAGGAGGAGAAAATGAGTATATTTTTGCTTTAAGACTGAGGCAAAATTCGCCAGACACAGTATTCATTTATCTTGAGCTTCACATAGAACCTTCCATAAATCACCATGAAAATAAAGCCTTAGTTTTTTTGACTGTGAGATAGTCAGGTGCCTGTGATATTAGGACTTCCAAGAACATTGTGGCATTTGATGTGAAGGCCATGTTTGTGAATTCACATGCAGACAGTTTTTTTCCCTAGAGGTCAGTAGCTTCTACCAGGTCCTCAAAGTGGACTAAAAAACCAAATGAAGGGCAAATGATTATTATCTTTATCTTCTATTTTTTCCTGGTTTTTACCTTTATTTGTGAATCTGAAATATATGTTTGATTGTTCATCTCTTTCTCCAAACACGTTCAAGGCCACCAGAATGCTAAGGATAGGATTAAATCTCTTTTTGCACAACATGGGCAGAGAATCCAAACTGTAGTTTTGATTGTCTTTGAGTTTAGTAAAAACAGCTTTGTCATAACCAGAGCTACGCCTTTAAAAAAAAAAAAAAAAGTAGGAGGAAAAGGAAGATTTGTTTTTGGGTCCAGAGAAAAATGTCATGTCTATTAGAGGGCTTCGGGGAAAATCTCATCACCGAGAACCTCACGATTCTTGTGCCAATTTTGTTTGGTTGGGCTCATGGTTCTTTCATTACTAAACTGCTCAAAGTGTGCAGAATAAATTCTGAAGGCTTTTTGTTCTGAAATTCTGCAAAATAATTTGATGAAAAACATAATTTTCAGGAAAATCTCCTCTCCTGATGTGCGGCCCAGGCCTCTTAGAAGACCCTTGTCTAAGTTGGGTGTTCCTTAGCATGTACTGCTGGGCGCTGAGGGAGGTATTTCCACTGCTGCCCCTCACTGCTGCTGCCTCCCCTGGCCTTGGACTGCCCTGGACACGGGCCCCAGAGTGGGCTCCATCTGGGAAGGAGTGAGAGCCACTCCTGGGAGCACTGGGTGAGCAATGGAGCCAAGTGGCTTGTCACGCTTCTAGGGCAACTAGTGAGACTAACACATGGGTTCCATTTGTTCCAAAACTTTAATAAGTCATACATTTTTGGAGGCCCATCTCCCAAAAATGCATTTTCAAACAACTTACCCTTTTAAATAAGTTTGGAGAGACCATGAGTCATCTCAGGTCCCTTCATGCATTTGGGAGGAAATGTCTGCAGGAAGGGACCAAATACATAAGAGAAATGGAAACACTTTTTCTAGTTTCCCAGCTGGCTGCCGATAACCAAGGCCACATGAGTGACAGGCACCCAGCGACTTCATGTACCCACAAGGACCAAAGCTGTTCACGTCTTACTGAGTTACATGCAATGACAATCACTCCACACAGTTCTAGAAAAGGAATTCCCCCAAGTAAGTTGACCTGAATCTTGCCTCTGGTCATTCTTCTGTTTAAAAAAACATAATTTTATTTCCATTCTACATGCTAAAATATGTAATCATTGATCATTAAGAGTAGAAAAAAATAGATGGAGTTTCTTCAACTTCAACACCTTTCATCATAATGGTTTTCTACTGTTTGAAAGGTGTTCAATTCAAAGCTTCTAGAAGAATAGAGATTCCTCCCTAGGATGCTGAGGATTCCCCCCCACACACACACCTGTCTTATCAACATCAATATAGAAGTCTTCCATACGCACAGAACTGCATATGGCCTGTTGGTGTGTCCTTCACGAGGAGACCAGTTTGATTCAAGGTGCATCTCCTTGATGACAAACTGGTGATGTGGTGACTGTTTCTCTTCAGAGTCCCTTGTGCACAGCATGTTAAGGGTATGGAATTATAGGACCTCAAGTTCTTGCTTTCACTGTTTTATTAGACGTGGTACCTTGATACTTAGGATTCTTTTCAGTCTCAGGAAAAAGTGAATATCTTGGAGTTGATATGAATCATGTGGAAGGTTCAGAATGTTCCAAATTTCTCTAAATCATCAGGAGTTACTCACAAGTTGGGTAACAATTATTCCGTTCAGTACCCGGCACAGATTTCCTCACGGTGCTCATAGTACTTACCCAAGCTCTAGATTTGAAAGTTGAATAACTATATATTTTTTTAATCATCTGCTACTGTGTGTGCCTGTGATCCTTATTAGTAAGCCAATAATTTATTCTGGAAAATGAACTATCTGAGAATGTGTGTCTGTCACGGTGAAATGTCTCTGACTAGGGAGGCTACAGAGGTCACCACCAAATGTTCTGACCACGGACCCAGCCAACAGGGCGTCTCCCACATGTTCAATTCTGACTCTGTTTTAGGAGATAAAAGAAAGACACCCCACCTGGGATTTCCCTTGGTTTTTCTGTGAAAGAATAAAACTGACACGCTACTAGAGGAGCATTTGAAAAATTAATTAGGGAGAAATCTGAGGCTCTGTCAGGGTGAGGCCTGGCCTTTCCCGTTCAGCGCTTCTCGAGGTGGGTTCTGTTCTCGTCTCCAGCTCAGCGCACAGACGCGCTACTATTTTGGAAACTCAGTTTCTTCATCTTTAAAGTGAGGAGGTGGAAGTCGTTTCTGGAGTCTGTGGTGTCAACCCATCATCGTGGTAATTACATGGGCTTCCCTCTCCCCACTCCCTCGCCTCGTTCAGCCGTCCCTGGAGGAATTCTTGATTGCTTACCTGCAATCGTGCACCAAGATTAAGGAAACAGAAGCAGCACAGTAGCAGGGGCTGTGGGCGCTATGGTAACGAGCACTAAGAAAATTACCGGTTGATTGATGGATACAACAGACGTGATTTGCGGCTCCATTTTTTTGTAGGGAAATTATTGAAAGAATAAAAGTAAAAGTTGGTCTGCTGGGGGTTACTGACAATGGAGCTAAAACACACTTTAAGAATTCTATGTAAATTCTGCACTCCATTTTTTTAGCTGTGACAAGAATAAGGTTATGTTTCTGTCACTGGGGAAAATACTGTGGGCTGCTGTTGTCCCTTCACCATGACAGGCGGATTAGGATGAGATGGAGGACGGGAGCCCCCTGGTGGCCATGTTGCGCCACTGCAGAGCCCCGAGGCGCTGCTAGTCTCCTGCAGTGATCACATTAGAAAGAAAATTTAAGATGCTTCTGTCTCACCGTTTGCTTGTGAGCAAGCAAACCACTATCAAAGAAGAAACGTTTTCAAAATCCAAGTCTGATGGTGACCAGTGAGTTGAGAAAAAATTATAAAAGACAGAAAAGAATTCCTTATTAAGAGAGTATTTTAGTAGGAAAAATTCTGCCTGCTGTAGATTTTAATTTGTACACTTATACAACTTCCAGTTTATATATTTCCCCCAGTGTGTGTACATTGTTAAAAAATAATGCAGGGCCTTTCCTTTGTAAATAAAAAGAACAGTATGGGGATGGCATCATTTCATGTCATGCAGAGTCTTTTAATAAATATATCAAAGTTTAGGCCGAAAGAGAAATGTGAAGGTTCATGGTATAGCCAGGATAAAATAAAGGAATCTGGGATACATTATTCTAAAACCTTAAAATACACTAACTTCACATGTTGGGGACATTTCTTCCATTAAAACA